CTTTACAAGCAAATTTTTTGGTTGAACGTTTTGCGACCATTCGCTGCTGAAAAATACGGGATGATTTCAGTTTTTTATGTACAGGATGATTAGAGAAACCCGAATTTTTCTAACGGATTTTTTTAAAGAAAACCAGAAAAATGTTTTTATTTTGATCTATTTCTCGATCTTAGTTTTGAAAGACGCACTCTCAACATTGCGATTAAACATTATTTTAAAGTGGTTTAATGGTCATTTGTCAAGCCATTGAACTAACCAACGATTACAAATAAAATATTGCAAAAATTTATAGTTTTAAACTGTAAAAATTACGACTCTATTTCAGAACAACTGTAGATCAAAGATAAATGCAAATGGCAAACATTTGAACAAAATGTTCAAGAATGTTTGAAGTACTTTATTGTAAAGAAACTTTAAGAAAAATTACTTGTTGCCAAATGTCTTCCTTTGAAGGTGCCCAGATTGAAACCAAAAGATTAATTTAAAAATGAATTTAATTTAAGCATTAAAAGCAAAAAGTTGAAGGGTCCTCTAAAACTGAAAATATGGGCGGTTTTGAAAATGAGGTCTAAGTACCTATCCGTATCCATTTCGCAGCTGAAAAGAGCCACATAAAATGTCTTTTATCTATGCCACTAATAACGCTGAGATAAAAAGTCGCATACAATAGGCAGGTCTAAGATTCCATTCGGTTTTCCATATATTCGCTTTAGTAAAAAGCCAGCCTCTACATTCTCCATAATCACGTAATACACTGATTCCATTCATCCCAGTATTCGGACTCGTTTTTTAGTTTAAACCTCAAAAGGCTCGATTTAAGATCTAAGGAATCCGTCCTGCCTGATAAAGGATAAAGAAAGGATCTGAGAGCAAAGGAGCTTTATTACAAAGATGGTTTCCAAGGTAACCGTTGACCTCTCCGGATTGGCTACTAGAAAAGTGTCAATAGACACTCCCACAATCCTGAACAGATATAGAGATTAGAGTTAGTTGGAAAAGCTGTTTTCCCGGACGCGCATCTTTTGAGAATGGATCGACCTACATTAAAATTTGTGAAATGGATGCGCTTTGAATAGATGACGCATTAAATCAACTATCTATTTTACGAGTTACTCAAAAAGCGTTATAAAATAAGTTATGGACTGGAAGTTCAGTTGTAAATATCGGAAGTTATTTATTCATTGTCTCAATCCAGTTTCGCCCATATTAAGACTGTGTGACCTGAATGACAACCGTTGATATGAATCAGTATGTCCCTTCACGTCATACAAAGGCATTTTCCGATTTAAACTTGACACGTGCATTGATTTTTTCCGCCCGAATTCAGTTTTAAATTGAAAACAAGACATACGAAAAATGTCAGTCAGCAATACTTGCGATTGTATTTTGTGTCACAAGGTTCGAACAGATAAAAATTTCATTTCCCGTTTTTTAACGCGGCTATTTTCACCGAGGGTTTCCCCAATTTTCACTAAATCGAATATTCACATTTTTGCTTCTTTGTTAATACCGATATTTGTGAGTTAATCGCATTTTGGTGAGCAAAAGTTTGTTTCTCAACAAAGGTGACCATAGTTGTGGATAATCCAAAACTATTTAATGAAATTCCAGTTTCTTTAACAATTAGTTTCATTATTCACACAGGCAAAGCTTAAAAAAACCCTAGATGTCATCACACTCCAGCTGATTAATTTTTCATTTCAAGGATACTGAAAATAAAGTCATCAACAGTTTCTAATCTGCCCTGTATATCTTAGATGCTAATTTCTCACGAAGTTCAAATAAATCATTCTGGTGGTGGTAAAACAAGAAGAGAAGTGAAAAAACGAGCTGGTAGTAGATTAAGGACCTTTTGCGAAGTATTCCAGCGTAATTAGTGTGACGGGGTGTTTATTGTTTAGAAACTTCGCACTTTGCTCGGTCGCTCCGGCCAGCTGAGCTCCGTTCCTTATTTTATCTCTGAACCCTCTTTCACTCCTCAATGGCGTAGGTAACGGGGTAAATTGCCATTCAACACCACACAGTGGCGAGTAGTGCAGGATGACGATTATTGTGTCCATTATTCCCTGGCCCTGGTGTAGGGGTTGCATTCAGAAAATATTTCATTGTTGCAAATTATCCGCTGGAACACAAAACCAGCCTTTGAAAAAACTGCAACGCTCCACCACTGTGTTACCTTTTGCTCTCCATCTTTCCGGCAAAATTAAGATAAAAACTCATTACCTGTTAAGCAACCTTTACCTCAGGTGTTCTAGTAGGTTGTATTAATGAAGATGCCTAATATTTTCATGGTGCTTTGAATACTGAAAAATTATTGCCTCACTATGCAATTTTCCGAGCTGCCGCCTTCCAATGGCGTGCCTAATACGTTTCACTTAGCGGCGTTCTTAATGTTTTACCATTAAAATGCACTGCTCAATTTTTTCATTTAGTTTCACAATTAATTAATTAAATCAATAACTGTTTGAATTGTTGGAAAAACCAAATAATGCGCGTTTTATTCTATTCATTCCTATTTTTTTCCCATATTAATTTGTGCGGTAATTTTGATTTGAAATTGCATTCGTTTATTTTGCCTAAATTGCAAAAATAAATGTTTGACTTATTGGGAAAGCAGCATAATGCTAAACTATTCACTGTTATGATATTCCTACCTTTCCTGGGTTTCAGTCAAAGTGTGAAGTAAAAATTTTGAAACATCGTTTATTTCATTACGTTTTGGCGTACGAAAATTTGTAATTCACAAAGTGTTAAAACATTCATCAGTTTTTGAGGGAAGAAAATTCTTCCTTTTGGGACAGCAAAACATCGGAACAACTTACCTCATGATTGGTAAAAATTAACGTCSTTTTAGGTMTTTGCSTTCTTGAAAAGCCTSASWGWSWCWSTSAGGCTTTTCAAGAASGCAAAKACCTAAAASGACGTTAATTTTTACCAATCATGAGGTAAGTTGTTCCGATGTTTTGCTGTCCCAAAAGGAAGAATTTTCTTCCCTCAAAAACTGATGAATGTTTTAACACTTTGTGAATTATAAATTTTCGTACGCCGAAACGTAATGAAATAAACGATGTTTCAAAATTTTTACTTCACACTTTGACTGAAACCCAGGAAAGATAGGAATATCATAACAAGTACACGCAGTCAGGAAAATAAATCAGACAATTCACTGTTAATTTTGTCCCATATTAATTTCTGTGTTAATTTTGCTTTCAAGGTAGTTTTTGCTTGGAAATTTTGTGCATTTATTTCTGTTGATTATCCCGAATTAGAATACGTACCCAATTTGAACTTGTGGTGTGATATGAACGTGCAACTCTGATCCGTTTCGTTTCGTATTCTAAAAATAAGCATTTTATAATTCCATGTAGACAAAATCCCCCATTTTTTTTGTCTTATTGCGGGCGATTTTTTCAGTAAACCACTCTAGATTAAAAGTGACAGGCTCTCAAGCAGTCGAGAGAGCAAATTGTCACGTGTCACCACAGGAGGGTGTCCCTTTCCTATAAATTTAGGCGAATTGAAGAAATGTGTTTTTTTTTATTCGGTCCCTTGGAAACCTCTTTTATTGACAAGCCCTTCATTTGTGTTCTTTTTTTTCTTTTATTATCTCCCACTAATAAACAGATTTTAATTTAAGTGCAGTTTAGTGTATCTCATTGTACGGAAGGATATTTTTGTTCAATTGTTTATAAAAAAACTTCTAGCTGACAATGAGATTTTTTGAATTTAATTAACGTGCTTTACGTGTATGTGTTAATTTGTAACATTTATAACAGACGCAAAAACATTTTCGCTATATTAATTAACTAATTAATTGAATTAAGTAAGTTCTATTTCTTCAACCGTTATATCAACAATGTTTTTATTAAATAAAAAAACTGAAAAACTAAAGGTCCACAAATCGAATTCCTTCGGTTTATAATTCCTAAAATGCTGTACGCTAAAATATTATGTACAGGGTGTTCAAAAACCCGTCGCAAATACATTTTAAAACCGGGTGCCGGTGAGGATTTTTTTATTGAAGAAACAGATAAATATTTATAGCGGTTTCTAGAGTCATACTGGTCCCATCTTTCATATTTCCAGTTTCGACTTAATGATTTTGGAAAAGTAGCAGCTAAAAAATTTTTTACATAAAATAATACGAATTAAAAAAATAATGTGTTCGAGAATTGCACCTTTTTCAGCAAGTTTTGTAACAATAGCTGGTATTAGTAAGGCCAGAAGCGCAAAAGGACTGAAAAGATTGAGAAATAATTAAATTACAAGGACACAAAATGTTAAAGGGCCTGAATAAAAACCAAATCGATCCGGCAGTTTATTCATTCTGCTTTGTACGACAGTATGTATGTACAGGGTGTTCGACAATACATCGCAAATAGTTTTCGCATTGGAGAAACAGATAAATGGTTTTCGCAATTTCTAGAGCAAAACTGGTCAAATAATTCGTTTTTCCAATTTTGACTTAGAAAACATATTTATTCAGTAATACTTTAGAACTATAGTGACTCAGTCAAAATTTGTAGGGACTTGTACCCCGAATTTTCGACTGTTGTAAAAATAAAATCTTACCTGAATTAACTTCACTAATAACCAAGATATTAAAAAATATATATTTTCGAGAAATTATTGAGCAAAAAATCGCATAATATGTACTGAAAAGCTCAGTTGTCACGTTGAGCTGTTTAACGCAATTAAATAAAACACCAGCAAATATAAATACAATTATTTTATTTAGGTACTATTTTGTTGAATATTTATGCTATGTACATATTTTTAGATTACCAAATATAAAATAATTAAATAAATTTCCGTGTGGCACCAATTAATGCTATTTGGCACTGTTTCACAGAATTTCTAAATGCTTCAGACTTTACATTTACTAGTTTGAAAATAATCTGGTTTAAACAAAGAGTTTCATATTTTGATCGGGATTGCACTATATCTAATTGAATAATTACCATAATCACTTTAAATGTAGGTACAAACACAAGTAAAAAAATCTTACAAATATCGTGTATACGTGATCAAAAAGATTATACAAAAAAAACAAACAAACGCAAAGATTAACGTGCATAAAAATCGATGTGAAAAACGAAACAATATTTATATAAGTACATACACAGTAAAAATTGTGAAGTTTTATTTTACAAAAGTACGACAAAGATAGACTTAAGGATTTAAGAAAACCACTGGCCACCGATAGACAAATGTATATAGTCCTCTGTTATCTATAGAACAACAATATAGCAAGAATATAACAACAATAATAAACATATATACAAAATAAATTAAGATAATTAGAATGTTAGGGGAGATTTTGCAGCAAAATTAATTCGTGAAAAATAAAATACAGTGCACATTCTAATTACCTCAACTAGGGAAATGATAAGGTAACTGAGTGAACTGAGGCATCCACCAGAGCGGTAATTAATAACTACTGCGTATTGAAAGAACAAGTTTTCACAATTCAATCTATAATAGGGCAGGATGCCTCAACATTTTTGATTCACAGCTAAAGTATTGTATTTTAACGAACTACACACACTGTCACTATAAATAAATAATAATCATACGAGAAATGATGTCTTTTAAAAATCAGATACAACTCGAAAATCGTTGTCACAAAGTCGCAATTAAAGGTGTTGTCTTATTCTAACAAACCAGACATTTTCTGGCATGGGACTACCTATTTACAGTTTATACAAATATTTATATCCCCACATATACAGGGTGGTTCTCAACTAATGTGACGAAATTCACTGACATTATTTGCGCTAAATTATTACCGTGTTGTCCGTGGTAAAATGTGTCAAAGTGTAAATAAATTTTTTTACAGTTTCGTAACCAGTTTTACTACTACTAAAAAAATTGGGTTTGACGGTTTTCTAGATAGAGGAATCCAAATTTCCTATTTCTTACTTTGTAGTTTCCAGAGAGCGCTAGCTGTAATAGTTTGGATTAATTTAAAATATCAAAATCAAATATTGCTATTGTGTTCACTCGTTCTGCGATATTTCGTAAACAAAAAATATTTCTTGGGCCACGTCGATATTTCTCACCGTTTTCGCGGTATTTTACATTAAAATATCTAGTGATTTTTCAGAACTTGTGGGCCATGGATAAAACATCTTTTAGTCAATCTGGTTAAGTGCGACATGAAATATTTGAAATTCTACATTTTAATGAATAAAGAAAAGCGCGATATGGTTAAGCACAAGACACGTTTATGCACAAGCAACTCTTAAATGCGGCCAAAGACTTCCGAAACAATTGGTATTTTTTCAATATGAAAATTATTTATTAAACGTTAACGGTTAATCAACGTATTGAAGTGATAGGCGTTTAGGTTGAGCAATTATTAGGATATAATATTTTTATAGCAGTAAAACTGGTTAAGAATGTAATAAAAAAAACGACAACTTTGATTTGATAAGAAAAATTTGCCTGAAATGCAATATTTTTGCTTTAATGTACCAGTGAATTTCGTCACATTAGTTGAGGAAGACCCTGTATAAATGTTGTCGAAAATTTAACTAAATCATGTGCTTAGCTCAGTGTACGTATGAAGTAAATGTAATGCTGCTCAAAATTTGTATATTATGTTATTGTTTATATCAATATTAATTGCAGCTTTTTATATTTTAAAAACGAACTGAATTGAAAGGTAGCGTACATTTGGCTTTGGCTCTATAATGCAGTTTGAATAACGAAAGCATTTTTTTAATCCGCAATGATTAGTAGAAAGCATTGGATGATATTTTGTTCATACTGCTAAATGGAATAGAGTAAATTTTCGACAATATCCTAATATAATTTCATTGTGATAAGAAAGGAACATTAATTTCACTCTGAGTATTACCCAGTCGGTCTATATTTGGCAATTTGATATAACATAGTTCTAACAACTGTCATTTCTGATATGTGAGCCTCCGAATCACACTAGGGCTCTTCAGCCACCCGAAGACGATTGTCTTTTTAATTCACAAATAACAGACAACATTAACAGATAATAAATGTTGACTAGCAGAACTAGTACAATTTTAAATATCACATATACGGCCACGAGAATGAACTACCAGATAAAAGCATGTCTCTTATTAGAGTTTCTATGGGAGTTTTTCCGACCAGTCGAACGAAAAACAATTGTTCTATAACTGCTGAGCTGACGGTTCTTAAACTAGGTAATCTCAGAAGCAACTTGCCAAATCGAGTAGGTTGATTCGGGTACTGCGATCTACAATATTCTTCAAGGGCACACTGTGACTTCTCTTGCATTGACTCTATATGAGCCACATCACTCAAGCCGCACGCATCTGGAACAATAAAACACAATTGTTAATGCACGAACATTTCCGTTATCTACAGGGTGATTCAGAACAATGAGATCGCACACAATCCCTAGAAGTTTGGCCCCCATAGTGCTGAATCACCCTGTATTGACGCAATTAGAGAAGTTTTCTAAACTCGTCCTTCGATATTTCAAGTAATATTTACTTAAAATCGCAGGATGCTAGCTGGATTGTACTGTACTCTTTGAACCCCTGATGAGAATAATAAAAGCAATTTGGCGTAACTTTTTCCTTTTACAGCCACTAAAACCAGCTTTAAAAAGTGAATGAGCAAAGGGGTTAGCTTTTAGGGCTTTTTAACTCCTTGGCTTATTGGTTTTGAATTTCATTTAATCCCAGATGTCTTTTTGAAATGGAACTTTTAAATCGCTTCTGGTTTTGCTTTAAAAACTTTGTCAAACCATGTAAAACCGTTTCATCAATAAATCTAAATCACGTAAGGCACACGCCCACAAACATTCTAAACAGATCTGAATATTGGGAACGGCTAACATCTGGACTAAAGGGATTTATTTGAGCTTATTATTGGCCCTTTCTTCACTTTTGTAAATTTTGAGAGGCGGAGAAGTCATTTCATGCGGATCTCGAATATAATGTATCCGATTTCTTAAAGCGAGCGGAAAATTCGTTAAGCAATTTAAAAAATTATGTCTACATTCTAGGTAACAAACTTAACAGCTGCACGATTACGACAGAAGGTCTGGATTTGTAACAGTTTATTGTCGGTAATTTGATTCTTATTGGCATTCAAAGATCGTTTTAAAAGCTGCAGGGGTAAGGAGGTGCGAGAACACATTTTCAGAGATTCTCCAGAATATAATTTTATAAACGTTTCAAACTAAATTTATTTGCTTTCATAAATTAGAAGTAATTTTTTAAAATTCATACACACAAAGATACATTTTATACTGAAAAGTCTATTGCGGTTTTTGTGCATTCAACAGGTCTATTGACTAATTAAATTCATGCATATTTTTATCCAACCATCTAAGTATCTATAAGATTTTTGATTTAAAATTCCGGTTGTTTTGACTTTTTTTATTTGGATTGTGGGTAAGTTACATCGGGAACATCGTCTATAAGAGTTGTATACCAAATTGTCCATGTTTGTTCCTGAAGAAGTAAACAGAGCGTATTTAAAATAAGAAAGGAGTCTAAATCTGCACAAATATGTCCTAAAAAAATTAAGCATTGAACTGATATTAATATATGACATAATTCACAACAGAATATTAAAAATTCAAAATATATGAGCGTTTTCTATAGCAAACTCTATAGCAAATCCCCAAATTTTCCTTCTTACTATGTAAAATAACAAAAACAATTACAATACAATTATTGGCATCGGGTTCCCTTTACAAGAGCTTGACATACATGTTTCAAATCATTAGCATTTAAAATTTTGCAACTACAATTAATTGTTTTTCATTTCTCGCATTGTCGTTTTTCATCAATAAACAGATGGTTTGACCTACGGAAAGGTTATGCGTAGTATTATTAAGGGATAAGCTATCCCTTTAGTGTCGTAAACAGTATCAATTAACCCCTAGTGACCTTTCGGGGCTCAGAGGTAAAAGTCATACGGTGGAACATCTTTTTAAATGTCGAATATAATCGGAAAATATCACCATACGTTGTACGGCGGGCAAAAAAGGAATAAAAGCCCATTTGGCACTTTATTTGATTTCCATATCTCCCTGGGTGTAACACTTATATTGCATTACGCTCGCATATAATATGCCCCGCAGTTTACTGTTGTATATGATGCGATTTATAACCCAGAAAAGGGAACTTTTGCTTCCCTAAAAAGTGCATATTGTTGGACGCTCTTAGTCATCCAAACAACACATTGCAGAATCATAATTCAATACAAAAAGATTATTTGGAATACCCAATAAATTATTTCTATGCCGCAATATATTAACCTAATAAATCATTACGAATTTATCTTAGAGCTGCTTAACTTCACAACAACAGTTTTCTGTATGAGAAGAGTGAGGGAAAAGTACACCTTCAGAGGTTGTTGCTGTGCTGAGCAATAATTTAGAAATTAATAAATTCGATTCAGTGTTTTGACTGTGAAAGGTTCAAGTTGCAAATTGGTATTGATTATAAGTTAACAATTTTCCGAGCACAGGATGCAATGGCGCAAAATTCTGCATTCTTGGGCCTACATTTACTAAGTACGCACAATTCAAGTGTCTTCGACCTACTGTGAAAATTTCGTGATCAGAAATTACATGCTTGGAAGTTATGATTTTTCCAAACAAATGGGGCAGTTGTGTAAAAACGATTGTTTTTGTCAATATTTGCTTCGTCGGAAAAAATCAGGATTAAGTGCGATTCAAATGATTTTTTGTCGAGTTGCAAACATGCTATTGATTAGAAGAAAGTTTAAATTACTTGAGAACTACTCCATCAGAAGTTTTATCTAAACACGATTTTTCATAAAACATCTTGAAAATGTCTCTTCAAGAGCTAACGTTTTCTAGAAGTAAATTTTATTTTTATGCAACTTACAAAGTCAATTTTGTACCACCCGGTACAACCAGCAATAAAATAAACAGGAAATCAATATTCACTTTCTTATTTTAACTCAGTGGCGAATCCAGGGGGCATGGGGCTGCAGCCCCCCTGGCATAATACAATACTTTCTGTTACATGACTGTAATGACGACAGTAAAAATCGGAATTCGCTTTAATAATAACTGAATAACATTTTATAATGGCCATAAATGAAGAAGCTCGTTAGTGGAATATTACATGAAATGATTAAAAAACAATCCATTGGACGAAATGGAACAGTAGCTAGGCCACCTCGATCACCTGATCTAAACAATCGGGATTTTTGAAAAACAGGCTCCAGTTGGGCTTAAACATCAATTTTGGGCCAAAACCCAGGCAATTTGTTTTCATTTTTAGCCTCAAATGTCTCGATGAATCAAATGAAATTGGTTCACTAATTTTTGCTGGTTCCGATTTGTGCTGCCGCTTCGGTTAAAAGCCGAAGTTTAGTTAGAAACTCTCCCAAACAGATGATCCATGCCCATAAAAGGGCTCCGCCTCAGTTGAGCCCAATATTACATAAGTATAACGATTCAATACAGATCAATTGGAAGAGGTGGATGAAAATAGCCCACCTCGATCCCCTGACGTAAACAATCGGCGATTTTAACTTAAAACAATCGGGATTTTTTAAGAACAGACTCCAGTTGGGCTTAAACATGCAGCCCCCGACCGTTCAGAAGTACTTACACAGTGCAATAATTTATATTTCATCGTAACGACTCAAAAATCTTATATCATTTTAATAGTGACTTTAAAACATTTTTATAATTCTGTCAATTTATGAACTAAACATTTCAAAAACACGTTCAGTCCATCCAGAAGAACTTAAATCACCTAAATTAAGATCTTCAATCTCTTTAACCTCCACTTTGAAATAATTCAAACAACATTATAGACTAAGGAAAATGGGAAAACCCGTAATTCCACGTTGAAAATACCTTGAACAAACTGCGGCAACTAAAATCGGTATGAGCAAAAATACAGCCATTTAGTGGTACGAGTAGTTAACAATGTGGCACTCCGGTATGCAAATCATAAAAAATCGATTTCCAGAATAGCTCGAATCATTGCCGTTTATTGACTGATAAATGGATGGAAGTCTAGTGTTATTTCCTGCCAGAACTCGGACCAAATATTAAACTTCAGCATCGCTCGTGTAAGTTCAAGGCGCGAAGAGTCGTGCTGGTGTGACAATAAATGTATTGTCTTGCACTTTCATTACAAAGATAACGGTCGGGATAAACAAATGCATTGTTGAAATTGTATTCTGGCTGGTCACCATTGTGCCCGCATGCTATGGTCGCCTATTATCTACTTCAGGTCCATCCTCGACTCTTTCACTTTGTGTCATGGCCTTAGTTTTATCTCTTGTAACACCGGTGAATAGGTTTTCCCTATTTAATTCGTTCAATGAAATTCATTAGTGAACTGTACGTGAACGAACTGGTTCTACTTTGATCACTTTTGTCCCGTTTTTTTGCAAATCGTCGGTTTCTTATATACAGTGTGATTCAAATTGGCTCACTTGGAGAGTATCAGAAAAAATGTTTGAAACATTTTTGTCGATAATTTCTACAATTTTTATAACAGTTGAAAATACAATTTCAACTTAATAATAAGAATAAGTACTATTTTGAAATGGCCCGATGTTTGATTGGTAGCCCACTGAAATACGAAGCATTCGAAAAGAAAAATTACGTATTAATTAATTAAATCTAATCCGAGAGCTCGTGTGAAAATCAACTACAACAATTAAAAGTTTCGTCGCATTTAATGGTCCGAACAAAGAGAAGCATCCACATATTATGGCATGACTTGAGTGTGGATCTGCCTCTATCTACAGAATAGATCCAGAAAGCGCTCAAAATGTCATAAAAATCGAGCAAAATACTGATCCGAGAACTAACATTTAATTCAGCATAAAAAAGTCTGAAATGCTTATCTTTGGCCGAAAAAGTTACGAAAAACAGAAGAACCAAAACATTGAAAATTTACTCATGGCAAACAATCAAACAGATATCAGTTTTATATACAGGTGGTCTAAAATTTGCGTTAATTCTCTTGAGCGCAATTGTAAGCAAGACCATGTCCTGCGAAACCAATATTTTTACAAGAGTCTTGCAAAAGGTAGTTCGGTATTGAATATGTCCTCTTTAAATTGATTAGAAAACTATTTTTATGATATGGTTCACTGATGCCAATTTTTCCTTATTTTAATCACTTTTTAATGGTCCGTAAATACATTTTCGCATTGTCTCTATATATCACCATTTAATAATTAGGGTAACAAAGGAACGAAGTGGTAGCTTTGGAATTTTGGAACAAACATCACTCAAGTTTCGCATAAGAAATACAATTATAATCTTTGCTAAAATTAATTTTTATTTGTCAATATAATATTTTTTACACACAACCCTATATTCTATATGGATTAAACCTTGCAGTATTCGTCGTTGTGGTCCTGGATTTACATCCTGAGCTCTCCTTTTTCTTATAGTACGCCTTTACTTGCCTAAGCGAATGCTTGCTTTTGGCAATTGTTACAACTTTCTGTCTATTACTACCAAACAGCATTGCATGTTCATCTCTGCTAATGCTGGCAGCCATTCCTGGCCTGGTAAGCTGTTCCATAATTTCTTGCTGTTCTATTTGGATAGCGGCTTGAAGGGTCTTCTTCAAAACTGGGTCTCCTTTGACAACTCGATCGAACAACGGAGAACTTCTTGCTGCCGCCAACAATGACTCGGCATCCAGTAGCCTCAAAATGAGACACCACATTTCCACAGGAAGAGTGGAAAAAGCGGAGCTAAATACACAAATGAGTGGCAGAACTTGATACATCTTGAGGTAGTTTGCAGTAGAACGTTTGTGTTAATAATGATCTTAAGGTCTTCTTGTGCAGTATTTATATCGGGTTGGGGGCAACGAAGCGGAAAATCATTGATGTGGAAACATGGAAACTGCCACGTACGCACATTTTGTGATGACGACATCAGTTCATCTTCACTTAGATCCACTGAACCGTCTTATGTGAGCTTGAGCTTCAACTTTATTTCGCACAATTGTCTAAATACTAGTTTAAAAAATGAATTGAATCTTAAACATTTTGCATCATTCAATCCTAAAGTTTTACGAAAATTGAAGTTTCCATAGAAAAATTCAGTCGGTGTTATTCAGATATTTACGCAAAGTATCTAAATTAATTGAAAACAAATAACAGTATTCTGGACAAACAATTCCTAGTTGCCACCGCGCCTTTGCCCAAATACAGACGCGAAAAAAGTGTAAAATGCATGACTCCTAAAGATTTGATTGATCTTTGATTGTTGATTTCGCTCTCAGATCGAGTTGTTGTTGATTTCTATCTCAGATGAGATCGAAATCAACATTCAGAAAAAGTCAGCCCTTTTTTTCAATCGCCCTTTAGATTATTCAAAAAGTTCTGATATTGCAAGAAGCCTTTGCAATATGTATGTGAGTGGGAACTGAGTTCAGAAACTGGTCCAACTGGGTGAAAAAGTGAAAGTGAAAAAAAAATCGATTGAGAAAAAAATTGAGTACAAGTAGCTACCAATAATAAATAATATAAGTTGGCACAGTTTTAGGTAAACGTAGCATGTGGGTGGACTACATTGAAAAGGCGTACCGCTAAAACCGCACGACGACTAGCAATGCCATTGTTGTCGAGCTATTAGCAAGGATTTATAGCAATCGTAACGCAGTCGAAGCCTGTCTGTGCTTTTCCCAACGGTATATAGATAATCTAGCCTTTTGCACCCCAAATAACTGTTGAAAATTTTCATCCCATCCTGAAATCGGCATTAAACGCTCAAGCAATTTGAATAGCAGCACGAAGGCAAAAAAATTCGCTCGATTTCAATTACTGAAGATAAAATGGAAATTAATATACTTGGCGAGCCGATAAACTAAGTAGCAAAACCGAACACCCTAGTTGACCGTCACTAAACAATAGGAAAGTTAATTTAAGGAAAACAATGACATCCCCCACTGGATATGTGTGTAATCATGGACGTGACGTTTTTTATGGGGTGTAAAAGCCAAATCAATGGTTGTCACCCTCAAATATGTGTCTAATATTTTCTATAGGCCAAAGCAGCTTTAAGCAAATTGCCAGTGGTGAACCGGAATCTGTCACATCGGTAATTGGCATTCGGTTTTTCTGAAACATGCAGTAAATTGGATTTCATTCATTTTAAACTTGCTAAAGTTCTTCCATTTTTATGTGGGTAAACAATATCATAACAGACATAAAATACCATCACATGTAACGCGCAACAACAGCCGAAATTCACAGAATTAAATAGACAGATAAGCTGAAATTAACCAAAACGAAGAATTTATTCAAACTGCAAAACTCTGGCTTTCAAATCGCTTCTGTTATACCGGGTGATAAACACCGGTAATTAAATTGCGTACTACACAGAAGCATTAATTGGGACACCCTGTACTTTATGGCGGCAGGCACAGACCCAACACATTTGCTACAGTTTGCCCCAAACTTTTTGGCAGTGACGCAATAATTGTCGTTTTTCTCCATTACTTGTCCACCCCAACAAATAAAAAAACTGACTGGGAAAGTTTTAAACTGGAAATTAACGAAAGAATTAAGTTGAATGTGCTTATCAAGTCAGTAGATCATTTAGAATTTGAATCAAGAAAATTCATTAATGATGTTCAGCAAGCAGCATGGAACAACACCCCAGAAATAAGGAGAAGAAACGCTGGAATAAACTACCCCAAGGAAATACGAGAACTTATTAAAGAGAAGAGGAGAGCTAGAAAAGAGTGGCAAAAATCCAGAACGAGAGAAAACAAAACCTTACTAAATAACCTGCCCAACAACTAAAAAGAGAAATTCAAGAAATTAAAAATGAGTCAATAAACAAGTACCTGAGGGAACTAACTGATGATCAGAGCTCAGATTATTCACTCTGGAAAGCCACCAGGAGATTAAACCGACAAATAAAACCAATACCTCCAATTCGAGAAGAAAGTGGCCCCTGGGCTAGAGACAACAAGCAAAAGGCTGCTTTATTTGCCACATACCTAGAAAGTATTTTTCAAATAGTCCTCAAATAGTAGTAGTCCTCAAATAGAAATAACACAAAAAAACTCAGAAATAAACTTAGTTACACCAAAAGAAGTAATTAGAGAAATAAAAGCAAACATAAATTCCAAAAAATCTCCAGGCTATGATTTAGTTTACGGGAGACATTCTCAAACAACTCCCAAAAAAGGGATTATTAAAATTACCCATTTAAATTAAAACACGTTCCTATCTTGTGGAAAACGGCAGATGTAATTATGATGCCAAAACCCGGCAAAACTGTAAACGAAGCTAAATCTTATTGATGAGGGACAAATGGTTCCTGACCATCAGTTTGGCTTTCGCAATAAACATTCTACAGTCGATCAAGTACATAGAATAACAGAAGTAATAGAAGAGTGCCTAGAAAAGAAGAAGATATGCTCCGCCGTTTTTCTAGACGTCGCCCAGGCGTTTGATAAAGTTTGGCATGATGGCATCATCAAGAAACTAAAGGTACTCTTTCCATTGTCGTATGCACAGCTATTGGAATCATATTTAAATCATCGAACCTTCAGAATCAAACAAGGGAACGCATACTCGGAGTTGAAATTGATAAAAGCTGGAGTCCCCCAGGGCAGTGTGCTTGGACCAGTGCTATTATATACTTGCGACATACCTTTAACAGATAACATAGAACTAGCAACATTTGCTGATGATACTGCAGTTCTAGCAGTAGGAAATTCTATAGAAGAGACAACTGCCAATTTTCAATATGCAATAAACGCCATAGACGTTTGGACCGCACAGTGGCGTATTAAATTAAATGAAAATAAGTCTGTTCACATCAATTTTACAAATAGAAAAATAAATCATCTTGCGGTGAAGTTAAATAACAATATAATTCCTCGCAAAGAAACTACTAAATATTTAGGACTTTACCTTGATGCCAAGCTTAGTTGGAAAGTTCACGTTAAAAGGAAGACTGAACAATTAAAACTCAAATACAAAGCATGTATTGCCTGCTGGGAAGAGGTTCGCAGCTTTCCATTAAAAACAAACTACTGGTTTACCAACAAGTCCTTAAACCAGTGTGGACATATGGCCTTCCGGTATGGGGTTGTACCAAACGAAGCAATTACAATTGCCTACAAGTGTTCCAGGTTGTACCAAACGAAGCAATTACAATTGCCTACAAGTGTTCCAGGTTGTACCAAACGAAGCAATTACAATTGCCTACAAGTACTCCAGAACCGGCTACTAAGGAACATCATTAATGCACCCTGGTACGTTCGGAATGAGGATCTGCATCGTGAGCTACAAGTGCGGACAGTCAAAGAAGAAATAGCGATAGCAGCCAGGAGACATGAAGAGAGACTCCACAACCATCCGAATGTTGAAGTACTTCAACTGCTAGATAGCCAGAACACAGTGAGGAGGCTGAAAAGGACTAAACCGTTTGAGCTTGTGAACATTAACGTGAAATGAATCGTGAAAAAGCAGAGTATAGTGCGGGTTAGCCACAACAGTTTAGTGCGCGAAACCATGCGAAAACCTGTGATGGACCGCTGGGAATATTATAGTTAACAAACCGTAGTAATTTAGGTTATATTTAGGGTGCTTGTTAATCTAAGATTAGGTGAATCAACAGCAACAACAAAAAAAAAAAAACTTGTCCACCCAGAGTCTTGGACATCAATTTGATGTTATTAACGTGTGTCTTTTATCAAATTGTTTGTGGCGAATTTTTTTAAGTTCATTTCAATTTACCGATACATTTTCTATTTGTATGTGTGTTATTTTCGGGAAATCAAAAATGCCTTAGCAATATTGTGAGGGCGAACAGCGGTTCATTTTGCTCATATTTTCAACATATCACTAAGATATTGAATGAGTTCCTCATTTTTTTCGCCTATTTTCTTCATAGTTTGACTGCAAGTTTACCAGCACGAAAATAACACACTTTATTGAGGCAAATTAAAAACTAAACTGTAGAATCAGAGAAACACGATCAAACTGAACTTCTGTCTATGTGCATGTCAAAAAATGGTTTACGTTCGCAAAAACAAAATCCATTTTTTTTTCAGCTCGTCTTAGTAAATAGTAGTAAATAGTATGAGATTTTTTTTCACCAAATAGTTCATCTAAAAATCAATGTCATTAATAGACTAAATTGAATAGACCTTAATCGATTCTACAAAGCAATACGTCTAAAATCAAGCAGTTTTTTCGAATGTTACGAACAGAAATATAGAACTAACACCTTAGATTCTGAAATAAATCAAATTATCACTCGGTCACAGGGAGACCCCAACTAACAAACGGACCAAGGGTTGGCTGCAGATAAGATATCAATTTACATGATCTCGGCTTCCCAGTCCAGGTTTTGCCTAATAAATAAGTACAATAATATCGAAATTCCCGAGGTTGGGGGGCCAGTTTATCACCATTTCACTATTGATAACATCTATCAACGCATGGGCGTACAGAGCCAACTAATAAACTGCAGATTAATGCATTGAGAACAATCAAAGAACTACTCATGCCACTACAGGAGAAAAACATACAGAGGAAGAACAAATTTTTTGGTGAGCTTCTTCAAGCTTCTACTAGAAGTTCAGAAGATGATTTTGGCATAAATCGTGCCTGTTCAAGGAAACTTTGGTAATCGTGGCATGCACCCAGAGAAGTACTTTTAAATTTATGCCTTAAAGCCTTAAAACCGGAATATTACCAACATCGAGTCGAATTTTGTGAAAGAATATTGAGCTGGATCCAAGGAGCCTAACTTTCTAAAGGAAATAATTAGGGCGGATGAAGCCAAATTTTCCAGAGTGCTAATTTGCCATAGAAAGAACGAGCATTTTCGGGCTGATCAAGATCCACATGTGAAGGAATCGGGATTTCAAGAAAAGTTCAGCTTCAACGTTCAATCTACTGAAAGATGAAAAAATCAGATTGATGACCAATCGCTAAATGCCGAAAGATATCTTGAGATACTAAAGCCAGTTGTGAGCTATAGAAGCTATCGCACCTGTTGTTATCTATTAGATGTACGGATCTGTAGATGCCGTTTGAATCATTGGGATTGGCCTGCTAGATCACCCAATCTCACGCCACTAGATTTCAACTTGTGGGGGGCAATTGAAAACGAAAATTATACAGGATACCAATGTGATCACTTGCTTGATGCCAGTGAGATAATCAAAGCTTCAACTGCATCTTTGAGTGAACGATGGTCATTTTGAGTATTTATTACAAACGTCTTGAACCACCGTGAGCCATCCTGTGTATGAAAATAGAACTGTAGTATCAGGAGCGAAAATCTCATAATTTACCGGAGATGATCCCCATCAAAAATATTTTAATTCTAGACGAATCGAAGTGTTTTAACTGTCAGTACACCCATCAGACCTTCGTGGAAAGTGTTAAATGCTGTCAGACATTTTGTATGCTGATGTGCCCAACTGACCGCATACATTTGGCTTTTCACAGCCGAGAGAATCAGCTTCATCAGAGCGATGGTGATGCCTCGTGAACATTGCCTAACGAATAATCACGCCCTCGCACTGGACATACACACAGCAAACATTATTTGAATATCAAAATCAATTGGATTTCTCAACCTTTTTGATGTTCTGGCCTTCAGGCTGATGTACAACACGTCTGAAATGTGGCTGTTTTGTAGATGGTCACGGTGGAATTGTTGTCATCATTTTGATGGAAACTGAGGTTTTCTAATAGATCAGATTTCAAAATTGTGCATTTTCCGGTTCCACCAGTTATTTGCCTACGTTTTGTCTAAAGACGGAGTGAAGGTACACACAACACAACAGAAATCGATGAAACTACATTTTTGACAAACCGTTTTTTTATTGCTTATTCCAACTAGTAATAACATTTTTGCGTTCTCTCCTATTCTTTTGTACTATTCATACAAGTCGTACAAGTTCATTGGCAAAATCAAAATTTGCTTATTTTTTTCAAAATTTGCCCTTTAGAAGAATTTACTTTGAGACATTGTTTATGTTCAATTCTAAGGATAATTACAAAATAAAACCGTTTTCCGAAAAAAGTTTCCGTTTATAAATTTCATTTTCTATACGGAAAATATGAGTTTTTCGTGTTTTTTTCCACATTTTTCGTAGAACTTTCACTCATACTTGCGCAACGTCAGGAAGGAATGCGTACGGCCTAAAAGCTTAACTGTTTCGAAGTAAAATATAGCTAAAAATTGCAACATTGCGCCATTTATTCATGTGATAGATACTACGATTTACTTTTAAGAAAAACACGTTTCATTGAGTGCTGATTAGTTTTATTCTACTCAAGAAAATGCCGGCAGAAAGTAGACTAGTTTTCGTCTAATTTCAAAATAATAATGATTATAATTTCAACCGCAAAAACATCGCATTTGGCTTATAACTGAAAGACAAACAGAGGATCGTAAATTTTTGGTTCATTTCGGTTAATTTTCTGATCCCTGCTTACTCCCTGATCGATCAATCGAAATTTCGCACTCTGTTCACAGTATAGTAGAAAATGAAAACGACAAATTTCCTATTTTCTATACAGTATAATGAACTAAATTCTAAAATAAAATTCAAACTGCAACTGCGAAAAGTTGAGTGGAAAAGTGTAAAGTAAAAAAAACTGTAAAGAAAGTTAATTTTTAAATGTCCATTTCCTGAACTGAAAATAGATTCAGTACAGTAAAAAAACATCTGGTGGCTCATAAATACACACAAACAGCAGTAAAGTTTCTTGGGTATTTTTTAACTGTTTCTGTACATTTTTAACAACTTTTGCAGGTCGATCGAGAATAAAAAAATTCAAAGTATAGTGAAAATCCCTGTACGGGGCAGAAAAAAATTAATAAAAAAAAACGAGCAAATATCTACACCGTAATTTATAGCTTTCTTTTTATTATGCTCTAAGACTGAAACTGCGACTATTGAGACTTACCAGCTTGCTTTATTTGTCGACTTTTGCCTATTTCTGCTGGAAAACCTATTAACATCCGGAAGACTTTCCAGCTTTTAAATAAACAAAACATCAGTTTCCCTGTTTCAAATGACATGAAAATTATTTTTGTAAATAATTTTTACATTGTAAATAGTTAACTGAGTTACCGAGTAGACGATAAAGCAAAATAAAATTAAGTTCAAAAGATAGCAGGTGTGAAACAATAATGAAAACGTAACTTTTTAATTATCTGTCGACGTTTCAACCTATATTGAGGTCTTCTTCAGGGCTCAAATTATGTGTGAGCGTTATGTTAATAGATATTAATTCGAGTGAATGCATCCCCACTTATTATATTCTGTACTGCGCTCAATAAAAGTAAAATTTAAGAGAAGGCATATAATTAAAAGTAAAATCAACAAAACCGGTCGATCGAAACATACGAGTGAGTTAAATTAGGATGAGGCGTTTAAACATCGGTGGTCGCGCCAAATCGGATGAGAAGTCATCAGACGTAAGTGTGACATGCCGTCGACAAGAGCGAAAGATTATTCACCCTTCTAAACCAATTTTGGGTTGAGGGTGACGGCCCTAAAAATTAAAAGCCGCAGATTTGCACAGTGCTATTATAACAAAACTACCCCTCCCGCAATCTTTCGATGTGTTCTGATTCATAAAGTCGAGGTCCCTCAACGGGGCCGCCCTTATTCCAGATAATGTGCTTATATGTCAAGATAGTAAAAATCGATACACGAATATTATTTGATTTGAGGGTGCATGGATGACCTTATTGTTTTCGAACGATGTCGGTCACTTACTCTCTAAAAACCACGTTTTCTATGCGAAATTAGAATAGACAACTGGTTAAGTAGCACAAACGTTTATAATTCCATTGAAAGCTTGCAGCTTAACCAGAAAGTTAAAGCTTCTTAAGGGTTTGGCGATTAAAAATGTATTTCCGTAAAATTCACTTTTTTGGAAAGCTTCTAAACGTTATTGCTGAATTTAGTACAAAAATGGCAAATTCAACGCATGTATCTTCGGATGGGATTTGGAACAAAAATTGATAGTTATCTAATTATATTCTTGTTTTCCGACGCAGTATTAATAACTGCAGTGCCAGTCTGTGTATTATATGGGCTTATCAAAAGTCTGCCTAGCAGGCTCTTGTTTTCTTGCACTGAATTTCAATCATTTCAATGGCGTAACCGAAAAATAATCGCAGAAGATTCAAACATTGCAACCGGCATACCAAAGTATTGGGCTTGGTTTTCATTTTAGTTTAAGTTCTTTGCGTGCCGATCCTAATAAAACGCGAAGGAAAACTTGAGATTATTTCAAGTTTCAATTCCCAATCGATTAAAACATTATGGAAGCATGATGGCACCTCGTGCCTAAGGGCCGATCTCTGATCTCATTGAACCAGACCAACTTCAATACGTATTTAACAGCCCTTATTTTCAAGTGTTAATTGATGCTGCCGATGCGGAGCTGTTCTTTCCCAGTCTTCAAGAGCCTTTTTTCAGGTGGTAAATTATGAAATTCTTGCACTATTTTTAACGCAGTTTGGCAATTTTTGCACACATACCTGCTAGTTGGTGCCGGTTAAATCGAAAACAATTAGATGCATGTACCACTTTTTTATGACCTGGGGTCAATAAAACAGTGAAACTTGAGCCGAAACTCTCTGCGGTCCTAAACGAGTGACGCGTGTCTATTGCTAGGAAAACTAAATTACCAGGAGTTTTTTATGCGAGGGTGAACGGGCGATTCTTTATTTTCAGGAAGTATAATACAAGGCATCAAATTACAATTGTTCGGTCCCTGATCATGGAGGGACTTTGCCCTGCTCTAACACGACGCAGAAGAAGCAGCAACTCAGCATTGTTCAGTGAAATGTTTTTTTACCGGGTACGAGGTTTTTTGTTTTTTTCCTCAATTTAGTGAGAAGTGAGTTAGTAAATATTGCGAAATGATGGCTAACTAATAATTTTCTAATCTATTCAACTAGTTTTTCTGCAATAGTGTATCTATATCATAATTTCTCGAGTCGTATAGCCCATTTTACATAATTTGTGTTAAATTTTCTTGAAATAATTTTTTTCAGCGTCATTGTACTGGATCTTAGTGATTTGATATCAATTTTAAT